TTCGATCACCATTTCTAATTCGTTTTTTTTTTTTTTTTTCAGATTTTTATTTCACGTCAATTTCTCAATCGCTGTTTATTTCGTTTTTTTATTTTTTTTATTTCTCGATTCCATTTATTTCTTTTTTTTATTTTTTTTATTTCTCGATCCCGTTAATTTCATTTTTTTCTTTTTTTTTTCTTTTTTGATCTCGTTTATTTCATTTTTTTCTTTTCCTTCTCTATTTCTCGATCCTGTTTATTTCATTTTCTTCTCCTCTCTTTTTATTTCTTGATCCCATTTATTTCATTTATTTTTATTTCTCGATCCCGTTTATTTCATTTTTTCTTTTTCCTTCTCTATTTCTCGATCCCATTTATTTCGTTTTCTCCTCCTCTCTTTTTATTTCTCGATCCCGTTTATTTCGTTATTTTTATTTTTTTTATTTCTCAATCCCGCCTATTTTGTCTTCCTCCTTTTTTTATTTATTGTTATAGCTTTGGCTGCTCCTGCTGTAATTCCATTCGAATGGACAGTCAACGTTACAAGAGAATTAATTCGACTTCGACGTGATAATCATGACAATATTGAGTTCATTCCTAACAATCGCCATGAAAGGATATGAGAATTATATCCAACCAATTGTTTATTAATAGAGGGTTCACCGCTTCTCTCTCTCAATGTTGAAAAAAATAGTACTCATTAAAATATGGATACGAAAATCTCAAAAGGTTGGAAGCTAAAGAGAATCCCCATGACCAACCAATAATAAACCTAACTCTGCATGATCAGATATTTCATGCAGAGTTTAGTGACGAATTTTAGCTTCGAACTGGTAATTATTTATTGAATAATAGTAATAAAAAATATATTTTTTACTTTTTAAAGCTTCAATTTTTTAATTTATTTATTATTTTTTATTATTTTTAGACGTAAATCGTCATTGGTATAGAAGACAGAATGTAGATCACCACCGGTACCAGTATTGACATAGGTCTTATTTTCATTGAGATCATAGATCCCATTCTTGTAGTCGTTCTTAAGATCATAGATCCTATTCTCACTGTCGTCGTTCACAGGATCATAGATTATGTTCTTGCCATCATTCAAAGGATCATAGATCCCATTCCCGAAGATACAGAAGGAGGTCATATTCTTCACAAAGGAGAAGTTTTTTGCCGAAAAGGCATTGATTTTATTTTTTATTTTTATTTTTATTTTTATTTTAATTTTAATTTTTTATTTTATTTTAATTTTAATTTTTATTATTATTTTATTTTTTAATTTTAATTTTTTTTTTATTTTATAATAAATTTTTTTAAAAAAAAAAAATTGTAATAGCGTTGCAATGCCCAAATAGTTATACAAATTATTATTATTTTACCCTTTTTTAATTTATCATATAATCATAATTAAAAATTCTAATCTAATTAAGTATCGATTATCTTGATTATGCAATTTGATAGTACAAACAGATTTGTCATTTTTTCGATCATTTTATTTTAGTATATTTTTTCATTAAATTTGTGAACGTTAACAATGAAATCAAATGTTAAAAATACCTAATACTTATGAATAAGTATATCAGACTGTAACGTTGTATTATCTGAATTCTAAAATTACTAAACCCTAAATATGTTTTACGTTCCAATGATAAAAAGTCTTATTAGTTTGACTATATAATTAAAGAACGCATCATCTTCGCTTCAAAATATATTTTTATTAATATGTTATTACTATTGACATATCACATTCAGAATTTTCTATTTCATCTAATTCATCTTCAATTTGATCTGGTAAATTCATAATTCTATTTCTAATTTCTAAAAGATTACTTATCATTTTATCTATATAATTTTTTACTATTAAAGATTTTGTTAAAAATTCTTTTATAATATTCCATTTGAAACTCTTAATGGAATATTATATTTAACGATTTCAAAAGAATGATAAAATGAATTTTTGTAACTATCAATTCCAAAAACTATTATATCATTCCTTATTACTTGAATTCCTATAAAAGAAATTTGATGAAGATCATCGATTATTGAT